TGAAATAGTCATTGGATATTTGATGAAATAAAACACCAAATGAGTGACGAGTGAATCTGAGCCAGAATGTCATTCGCCATTCGAACCAGAATAACGGACATCAGTACAATCAACTAGACCGATTGCCATAGCAATCAAGCCCGTCAGCTGTTACTGATAAGCCTCTTAGAATATATCAGCTATTTATTGTTTTCTCAACAACTGTCCTTGAATAGGAGCAAAATCCAATCTCTCAGATATAGTGTTCATCAAAAATGAGATGGACTTGAAAAGAAAATCACAATGATTGGTTTTAAGTTTAAAGTCAATTCATAAAATGGTTCACTCACTCTATAATTGTTTCCATAACGTCGTTCAAAGGCTTGACATAGCCATCGTGCTCCCTCGTTGTGGTCTACCTCTTGTGCATCCGGTGGGTAGCTTACCACTAGATAAGGAAAAAAATATCAGACGGGAATTCGCATTTCAGATTTCGGGTTGTAGCATTTCTCCGTTCTTAAACAGGTGCAATTTTGCTATTGCACAGTGAAGGAGTTTTCATTTTATTCGTAAAATCTTAGAGTTGGAATAGCCCTCACGCTATGCATCACATGAGTGTCTCGTGCATTATGCTCTAAACACTACGTTTTAGGTAGAGAAATTGCTTCAAGAGGCTGTTGATTGCTGGTTTTAAAGCACCACATCCAGTAGAGGTGAAATTACATGGAAAGGGTTAGAAATAAGCAGACCACTGCAGCTTACGAACTGGGATGATATACCAGAATATAACGTATTGATGTCCGATCACAACTTGATATCAGCACCATCAGCATGTGAATTCCCTATATTCAATTCCGTTTTAGATCTATTTCTAATAGAACAAAATAACAATCAGTTCTATTTCATGTGTTTCGAAACACCTGTATCGTAAAGCCTCTTTTTACAAAACAAAATATTTCGTTGTAACTGAAGCCAATTGCTTGTTTCATTTACTCCAAAGTAGAGTACACAATCATTCATAAACCAGTGTACTTGCGAACAACGAAGAGGAGGGGGAGGGTCATCTAACAGAAAAATGTTGAAAAATGGATCGCACAATGCCGAATGGCCAAGTGGTTTTGACACATTTTTCATAAATCGTAAATGAGTCATCACTTTTTTTCGCGAAATACGTGTGAAACTACAATATGTTTCAATATGCATATGCTTTATGTATCTCGTTTTTGATATACCAAAAGATATGTATTGCTTTCGCGATTAACTTTAAGCCCCATCAATGCTTAACAAGTCCTCAACAACTAAGTGAAAAGAAAATGCGTATAGTGTGTCAATTATTTTAGCGAACACGCTCGTTTTCGACAACTTATTCTTGGGCTAGTACAGTTATATAGTCAAATTAAAATTAAAATGTTCATCAATGGCTGTGTGATTCGTGGTTTTTGATTGGGCTACGATTGCACTTGAAATCGTCTTTCTTGTGCCTGAACGCAACAAGACCGGTTTCTGTTCCTTGATTCTTTGGGACAACTGTCTGGTCGTTCTGACTACATATCTTGCCGAAAATGAGCAAAGAACAGAATAGGTGATCATGGATGAGGCATGGATAGGCAATTTATCTTTAAGGTTCACGGACCTCACCGGTCGGCTCACGAAAAGGGTGCGTATTGTGGCGGCAGGAAAAGTTCGGGAGATTGGTCTTTCTAACGGCCGTGTCACTAGTTCACTATTGTAATCTCCCTTGATCACCTATTCTTTTCTTTGCTCATGTTCGGCAAGTTATGTAGTCAGAACGACCAGGCAATTGCCCCAAAGAATCAAGGAACACAAACCGGTCTGGTTGCGTTCAGACACAAGANGACGATTTCAAGTGCAATCGTAGCCCATCTTGCCGATACCGGGCATCAGGTTGACGATGACGCATTTCGAATCATCTACAAGGTGCCACCAAACCCCTCGAAAGCCGCCCGTCAACGTCATCTCGCAACAGCCGAAGCCGTAGCCATTCGATTAATAAACCCATCTCTTTGTTCTCAAAAGCGATTCGTACAATCACTCAGACTGCCTTGGCCACAACGTGACACCCCTCCCCCTCCGAGATAGACTTGACCTTTCCCATGACCTCCCGACCCTAACGCGTGATGACACGTCCACATCCTAATCGTTTTCCCAACCTTGTTACGATCACACTACGACTGCACTTTCCCCTTCTTAACCGGGCAGCTTCGCTTTTTATCTGACTAATTTTTTCTTTCCTTTTATTGGATAAATAATAATGCACTAATTAGAAATGGCTACCATATAACACGAAACGGGGAAAATCAGGTGGCGGTGATGGTAGTGGGATTCAAACACACGTCCACGGGGGTGATTATTTGAGCGAACTCTAATACTCGGCCACCTCCGTCCTATACTAATAATGACCAGTCATTTGGAAGCGGAATTTTATTTGTTTTAGCTATTTCGTTCATATGGCTGAATTGCTCTTTTCTTTGATTAAAAATGTCAGCTAGTAGCAATAATGATACATGAATGTCTATTGCTTCACCACATAGGTGATTATTCCATATTTTTTCTATTCTATATTCCACTTGCTTCCTTCATTGAATACATTTCACTGAAGAATACTTTGATGTTTGTCCCATTTTTCAAAATTTCTGGTTCATATAGTTGATATTGGTGATAGTGGATTGTTCTCTAAATTTGCACTTTCATTGAGGTATGCGATTTTGAGTAATTACGGTGCATGGGTGCTTATATGATTGAAATGTGCACGCGTGGGCGGCAATGGACATGCAACTTTACACTTGATTGCTACCAGCCAAGAGAGAACCTACCAGGCATGCTCCATAATCGCGGTCTAACGAGAATGGAATACAGCTCAAGGCACTAGTTCTCTCTTATTGTAACAACTGTCTGGACAAATCTCCCTGGTTCTCGTGTATTTTGTTTGACATCTTTACAACGTATTATACCTGATCGGATAGCTGTTCGATCCTGTTTGCTCCCCCGTAGCCTCCCATAATGGCTTCCATCGTACTGTCGGAAAACCGTGCCCGGACAGGCGCCAAACGTTGAACATGCTGTTTGCCGTGTAATTCTCCCGTGATAGTGTTATTGTCCAAACTAGCCATTCACCGGGCATTGCGCACATGCGGACAACGAGTTCATGGTGAATGACCAGACTTATTTAGCCCTCTCTGAAACGGGGAGGGGAATTACTGGTTACTTCAGAAAGAGATTACAGGGGAGGGGAAAGGCGATGAGGGGCGTCAGTAAGCGCGATGACTGGTGCTCTTCTCTTCCTGTGCTAGTTCATTTTCCATTGAAAACCAAAGCCATCTGTGTCTGGAGGCTAGAACAAGGTACTCTGAAGGTTAGTTCAAACCATGTCTAGACGTGATTGGGTGTGTTAGTTATGCTGCGTCTCCTCAGGGACGCCTGATTACTACGTTTCATGAATTCTAAGGCTGGAAATGACCTTTGGAAACCTTTCATCCAGCTTCATCTAAACTGCAGCCAACTGTCCTGTTATACGTAGGGTAGGGATTACTGAATAAGTTCCATATGTGTATGTCTAACAATTGCTCTGATGGAATTCATGGATATATATATATATAATATAAATATATATATATAAACTAAGCGGTTTTCAGTTTAACATTCCCCAGAATCAACTTATGCTCTGAACGGTATCTTGCGCGGTACGTTGCCGAGACACTGAATCAGCGAACTTGCCCCGTTGGTGGAATGCGGGTAGTTGTATTCGTAAGAACACACCTAAATGGATGGCAGATGGATACTCATGTGTTAAATCAGCGCACCGGTCATTAGATCCCTGTTTCTCAGTATTACAATTGGATAGAACCCCTGCTCTACGACTAGTGGTCTTGATCTAAAACTGGGGCATACCTCGTGTAGAGATAAAGTAATCAGTTATTGCAACTGCTCAGTGGTCACATTAGTGATATGTTTACGTTCTGGGTTCTGGGTTTTATCCTAACTAGGTTGCAATTCGTCAAGAAAAAAATCATCTAGGGAAGTTTTGTTTTCATCTACCGAGCAAAGGACATGTGAATTTATCAGATCAGAAACGCTTAACAGCTTTTTTGATTCTATTTCAACGCAAGCATACCAACTTGACCGACAAGTATTCGATCCAATCACTTAACTTTAAGGTAGACCATCTTTAAAAGAGGTTTACATGCATCCAACTTTCCTCATGGTAGCAACAACCTCCAGGATGAGGACTATATCATAGACATTCTGAGCCTGATCCTCTTATGCTGTGTTAAACACTCGTACACTGCTTCCTGGCTTCTTAGTTTATGTACTCTCCTTTGTGTACAAAGAAATTTATTCTAACACCAATTGTAAACTTAAACTGATACCTCAGTTTTCTAGTTGTTTACATATTTTCTTGGCTACGGTGACGAACATTTGAAGATGTGTGGCAACACTGTTCAGCAATTAGATCATAACTATCAAGTCAAGTCAAGTCACATTAAACTTGATACACCCAAATAAGATGGAATTTCAGCAACATCCTTGTATTCTTCTCAGAAATCGGTATACAGCTTCACTTACATTGTTCTACTATCATTCCAATGCACCATAATCTAAATGAATGAGTAAAAAGAGAGAGATGAGAAAATCTGTTTTAGGTTTAGCAGCTGTTTGTGTTTAATCCCTCCATTACTTTGGATGAGGATATAGTTCCGAGTGTCACATCATCAGTTTAGGCTGTTCAAGAATGTTTTGCGATAGGGAACCGGGGAATTCTGAGTGCCTGCACAACATTATTTGTAGACAAGCGGTTGAAGAGTCAGAGGTTCACTGAATCAACATGTGAAAACTCTCGAATGATATCTATCAAATGAGAAAGTTCTTAATTATTGACCATGGTCTAGGCTTTCGTTTGAACAACTGTGAGGAGTAATCCTTGTTCCAAAGTTAAACGCAGTAAATATGATGTATTACAACAATTTTATTACATTTATTTTTCACAGTTATTTCAAAATTAACTGATCATTTGATATAAAGCGAATAGATTCTTCTCTTCAAAATATGTAGGTTTATGGGTACCTTAACAGGTTTGCTGAAAATTGAGTGTTTTTTATTTTTCAAGGTATTGAAAAATTCAATGAAATCCTTTGCCTCTCAAGTAGAAAACTAACTTTCTGGTTGCTTATAATTGCAACAGAAAGCCCACGGTCTACTATGTAAGCACACAAGACTCCAATGTGATGTACCTATGTTTTATAATCTCCTCTCCCTTTGAATGATAAATTTTCATGTATGCGCAAAGTTTTGAATGTAAAATAAATTTTTTTAAAGGGTGAAATATACGATAAATGCATGCGGTGCTAAGAGATAGGAATGTCTCCCACGAAATCCCGTTAGCGACCGAATTTGGGGAGTTTAAAGACGGATTTGAGTACATTCTGTATCATCTAACTGGCAGTTGGAACATTTACATGGCCAGCTCGGCATTCAGAATCATGTCGTGTGTGAACAGTTCACGAACTGCTCATACCAAACGATTATGTAAAACCCGCAGATTCGAATGGGCATGTTTACATTTGCATTTCGTTGAGGTACAAATGGTACAAACCATCAACCATTGGGTTTATTTCAGTTTTGTCAAAATAATCACCAAAAGTTCGATTTATTTTCATTGCATACGAAGGAGTCATCTTTGATCTGTGTGGCGAGTGATTCGAGGGGAAAAGCTAACTGCAATAGTCATCAGCTTATGCATGCTAATTATCTTGTCAAATGTTCATTTTAATGTAGGAGATAAGTCGATAATCGCATTTGATTCAAAGAAAACGGTGTTATTTGAGGAAATCACTCCCCCGATGGAATTTATTCACTAGGATATTGAGAGCCTAGACTGAACCCATCCATGCAATGAATGATGTTAACATGAACGCCTGAGCATGGTGATCGATTCATTGGTCCATCTTGACGTGATTCGCTCCCTTACCCGATCGACAGAGGTCAATCACCGGAGGGCTTGTTCATTCGCGTCTATGACGCACTCCCGATTAACGATCACGAACATAACGCTCCAGGGTGGAGTGAGGGTGGGGGCAAAGAACAGCCCACGCCAGCGGAACTTTTATTCTCTCTCGTTCCCCTTTTTGTGCTGTTGTGTCGTGTTGTCCGTTGAGACTTTGTCTTCGTCTCGCTCGGTAACTCAATCAAAAAGTACTTTTGTTACTCTTCGGAGAAGTGAGTTCATTCGTAGTGGACGGGGTTTAGACAGACCCGGTCCAATCGAAGACGTTTGACGGCCGAAACACCAATCATCTTGTAGGTATCTCGTGGAATCCGATTGGTTGGATTCACTTGAAATTGAAAAGGTATAGAGTACGTTTGTGGAGTTCATGTACCGCATCGGATGTACCTGCTGACGAACAATCTTTGGCGGGCATTAGGATATTGTTTGACGGCAATGAGTGTCTCATTCGGCGGACTCTGCGTATCAGGTCACGGAGGGAGTATTAAGATCACCTAAAACACATTTTATTTTACCTTAAGTACCGTACGCTTAAAATAGCCTCAATGTACTTTGTTATGTATCCATAATGAACAGCGCAATTTTCGGTAAAACACTCGATTATTTCAGTTTGATCATCGATAGAAGCGCAGGCACAGAAATAATGGAATAAAAAACACTGGAATACATAATAGTGAATCATGGACCTCAAATACATTGCGTTAGAGATCGGCGGATGGTCAGTAGTTTTAGTGTCGAATTTTGCTCGTAAAAGTGATAGTCTTCGTGGTTGTGGTGAAGTTTGAAATAGCATGAGACTCGTAAAACGCACATCACTGTCAGCTATTTTCCTACAATTGAGTCAATATTTTATTGCTTGAGAAAGACTTCAAAAAGCTTACACGTTGCTATGCAAATATTAAGCCAACTGTGGAATAGCATGCTTCTGAAGTGGCATAAAAAAGCGGCACTTTATCCCAGAGAGCGATATCTGAAAGAAGAGCAGCACTACGAACCTGTATTATAATTATTTGGGTTGGATAGTTTTATTCTAAACATTCTGGACACTATTACTTTTTCCGGTGATTTTATACCAGCACCGTTGTGATAATTCTTCATCGCGGGGTAAGCTTAATTTGGTAATTGCAATGCAATCAAAGGTATGCTGGATAAATTCTCATTCGAAGTCGAGGTGTAGGAATAATCTGGTAGAGGGTTACAGAATTCACACAACAATTCACACACAGAATTCACATGATTGACTAAAACTGCAAGATCTGTTTTCTGTTTCAATGTGCGTCCCATGATGTACTGATGTACTAATCACTTAAAGTAACCCGTGTTTCACGTGTGCTCTTATGATTAGAATGGATCAAAATCCAGTGAACAAAATTTGAGCCTCGTTTGGTCGTATAATGTAGCCAGTCAAATTAATCGTACTTACAGGATTTCAATAGACAGAATGACAATTAGCTAGCAGGCAAAACGTGTCGCAAAATGTCATTCACAGTAGTAGAAGTCTGTGATAAGTTAAACTAGCGTACCTAAAAGTCTATCCGTGACATATGTTAGCCGAAATCTGTGTTTGCCAACGCTCGCTAACTCGGCAGACAGACTGTAGGCCAGCGGGGAGGTGATGTGATCAGCTCCATCAATGGTCTCTTCGCGACCGACAGTACCTCCCATTGTACAGTTTGCTTCAGTTCCTGGCCCTATTTCTCCCGGACGATGAGGTACACCATGATGGTGAATGACCATCGGATGGGATGTTCCGGGCTGTCCAGAAGTCCGGGTCCCGGATAAGCTAATCGACGGAGCCGGTCCGGGGACATCGCTCTCTCCGGGAGGTTGAAATTGCCGTCCTTGTAGGCCGGAGCTGATAGTTGATGGAAGGGGATATGGGGCAATCCATGCTGATGGAAGTGTCTGCTCGTCGAAAAGGCCGTATCGAGCAAGCTAGATGAACGAAGAAAACGAGTAGGTAAAAAGAAATGTCTTCAAAAATACTAAGTAAAGCATCATCTGATAGAAGTGCCATGCACTTAATGTTTTGCTATAATAAGAAGCCCAAAACATACGGATGATAATGAAATTCAGAGAATATTTGACCAACATATTCATGAAGTCCAAGAAAACAAAATCTGTATCTCTCGCAGTGTTTGTCTTCTGACTTGCCTGTTCAAAATCTGTATCTGTTGAGTTCAATCTTCGTGTTTGACTTCCCTCTAATTCCACTGTGTTAAATATTTAACAAACAAAGAATCGCTTTCTTTTTACATGGGGACATATTTGGAAATTTTTGACTGCCTAATTACTGTAACTACTGTAAATCTGCTATACTAGGACATGAATTACCGAGATTAGACATATATCCAGTCTGCTGTATATGGGTAGCTTATTTGTTACTCCTGCCTACATCATGTTACCATATTGCAAATCAACGTGCTGTGGAATGTTTATGCTTCTTGAATGTGACATGGACATCGCGAAATGAATTGGGGTAGGCTTAAACTGTTTCCATGATTGGTGACTATTGCACTAAACGCCGCAACCAACTGGCCTCATTTGCGCGAAACATTGCAATTGAAAATCCACTTCAAAGTCAGTTTTGCTGCTTACAGAGGATCAAATGCATGATTGGTCAATTAAGCAAGAACAGAATACCGTAAAACTACAGCATTCCGTTTGCTTTTTTTAATCACTCTAATATTTACCGAAAATCGCTTTAGCTATTCAGACTTACGAATATGGAGATGAAGGAGAGCCTTCGTGAAAATTAAGCAGATTGGTTGTCATTAACTTGCCATCACACTGGTTGTTCTACTTAACCAATCGGATATGTTAAGTGAAGTGAAACAATCGCACCCTATCTGTCTGCTCACTGTAACGACCGACTGGATCAACTCTACTCATAGCTTCATACGCATAGTTATCAAGCGGTAATCATGCTTAATGACAAACCAATGCAGCGTTATGGTTCCATCAATCAGAATGACTATATCAACCGAGACCTTGCTGTAATAGACGGAATAACCAATTTTTGTAAAAAATAGTTAACCTAATAAGATGCTTATCCCGGAAAAAGTGACCAGATGTATCATGGAAATGGTCCATCTCCACTTGTACCGATGAATATTTGGTATTGCAATGGAAAGGCAACTGAAAACATAAATTGTTAGATTACTTTGTATCTGGATATAATGTTTTCGATCCCCAGTTGGGTCGACGGATTTGCAATGCTGATGAAATCCAACATATCGAACCGTACAGTGCATGTAAGCTTTGCAGTTCACGGTTCGTTTGCACTAGGCACGACGAATTCCGTCACGAAACGGGATCAACTCCTCTAATGCCCAAATGTTTCATCTAAATAACGCAAAAATGAGCGGCATATTGAAATACGACCTGTGATAGATTTCAAGTTCACTTGCAATTGATAATACATATGGGTGCGGGAATGATTTCGAAAGATAGACCATATGGGGATACTGAACGATTTACGTCCAGGACGATTCCGTTGCATCTCAACCTGTTGCATACTGCAGAAAATACAATGTTTATATGGGGCTTTATCATA